CAACCAGGGGCGTCCGGGACAAAGCCAAGGAAGACGCAGGGGACAGCGCGACGGGAGAGCTTGTCCGCGGACGTGTCGCGGACAAAAGCTCGGGATCCCCAGACCCGAAAACGCGACGCATCGCCAGCCTCTCCCGTCCAGCGCAGTGTCGGAGAAGTCTCGGGCAAGGAGACACGGGGCCAGAGGTTGAGCTGATGCGCAGCGTATCGGACTGCAAACGGCCACAGAAAATGGGGGGCAGCCGCATGGCTCAAGGAGGTACGAGCGACCTCCATGACCAGACCAATGCGGCGCTCAGCAACCCCATTCTGCTGTGGAGAGGCCGGAAGCGTGTACGACTGCTCAATGCCCTCCTGCTGACAGAAGGCCTCCAAGAGGCCAGAGGAAAACTCCCCACCTCTGTCAGAGTGCAGACGCAGGACAGGGAAGTCGGAGCGGAAACGCTCACGGAGCTGGAGACGAGATCTGCGGATCCAAGGGATCAAGACATCAGGGACGTCACCCTTGGCGCGCAAGGGGAAGACCGTGGTGTAGCGCGAGAAGTCGTCAACAACAATCAGGAAGTACCTCTCCTGACCCTGACCACGGACGCGGGCTGGGCCCCACACGTCCATGTGAAGCGTCTGCAAGGGGGCAGTCGTCGGGGGAAAGGAGGAGGAGTGAGGAGCGGCGCGCTGCCGTCCCTCGACACAGGGAATACAGGGAGGAGCAGGCGAGTCGGGAAGGGGAGGGAGCACCCTGGGAAGACCAGCAACAAGGTCCCGCTGGTGCATGGCCCGAAGGCGCTGCACAGACGGGTGACCAAGGCGGTGGTGCCAAAGGACAGTCTCATGTGCCAGAGAGCGACACGAGCAGGGGGCGGACAGCTGACCTGACGCAGACGCAGACGCAGCTACCTGAGGGGACACAGTGGTCAGTGTGTAAAGGTCCGACCCCGGCTCCCGAGTGAAGGTAGCCAGGTGGCGACCCGTCCGAGCACACGTGCAGTGTGTCACGCGCTCGTAGGCAGGGGTGAACTGGTGAACACCCCCGTCCTGGAGCGCACTACCTGCCACCAAGTTCGTAGAGAACGAGGGGAGGTAGAGACCTGACAGCGTGCCGGACGGGACCGCAGGACAAGGAAGGACAGTGGAGGAGGTCGCAATGACCGGACCCCCAGAGGGGTCAGCAAGGGAGACAGCAACTGGCCGAGCGAGTGGCTCAAGGACAGTGCGGTCACGAAAGAAAGAGCGAGAAGCACCTGAGTCCAGTGTGAAGGTGTGCAGTGCTGCAGTCGACTCAGTACCAGGGGGCACAGACGCACTAGCACCTAGGGCAGCAGCCTCACCATCACCTGGGGTAGCAGACACGCGAGCACCTGGAGCGGCAGACGCACTAGCACCTAGAGCAGTAGGCTCACCAGCACCTGGAGTAGCAGACACGCGAGTACCGGGAGTGGTAGCCTCACCTGCTCCGAGGGCAACAGACGTACTGGCACCGAGAGCGGCTGCCTCACTCACAGAGCGACTACCACTACGGCCACCCCGACTGCTCAAACCGGCGTACCACTCACGAGCCTGCTGGAGCAGAAGAGGGCACGGCTGCTGCACCTGTCCACTACCGGAGCCTCCCGAACGACGCACGCCAGAGCGACTACCACGCCGGCCACCCCGACTGCCCAAACCGGCGTACCACTCACGAGCCTGCTGGACCGTAGGAGAGCACTGCTGCTGCACCTGTCCACTACCAGAGGCTCCCGAACGACGCACGTCAGAGCGACTACCACGACTGCCACCCCGATAGCCCCAACTGGCGTACCACTCACGAGCCTGCTGGACCGTAGGAGGGCACGGCTGCTGCACCTGTCCACTACCAGAGGCTCCCGAACTACGCACGTCAGAGCGACTACCACTACGGCCACCCCGATAGCCCCAACTGGCGTACCACTCACGAGCCTGCTGGAGCGTGAGGGACTCACGCGCACGGTCCTGTGGCTGCATCTGGCCACGTCAGGAGCAGCAGCAGTAGCGGGAGTGGGAGTAGAAACGGCAGTAGTAGCAGTAGCAGCGGTAGCAGTGCTGGCAGGGCAATGCTCACCAGTGGTCGGCGTGGCAGGCGCAGTAGGAAGCTCCGCGGCAGCTGCTGCAGAGCTAGACCGGGCTACGACGGCAGTTGCTCCAGGGGCGGCTGCTGCAGGTGCGGGCGGCTCCAGGGGCGGCTGCTGCAGTGGCGGGCGGCTCCAGTGGCTGCTGCCGCAGTGGCGGGCGGCTGCAGGGGCTGCTGCTGCAGTGGCGGCGGCTCCAGGGGCTGCTACTGCAGTGGCGGCTGCTCCAGGGGCGAGAGGCGGATTAGGGTTAGGTGGCGACGGCGCGGGCAGGGCGACGCGGCGGGCAGGTGGCGACGCCGCGGGCAGGGCGACGGATTAGGGTTAGGTGGCGACGCCGCGTGCATGTGGCGACGGCGCGGGCAGGCGACGACGCCGCGGGCAGGTGGCGACGCCGCGACGACGCCGCGGGCAGGCGACGTCTCCGCGGGCAGGCGACGGCGCCGCGGGCAGGGATCGACGTCGCGGGCAGGCGGCTTCGACGCGGGCAGGCGACGACGCCGCGGAGAGGCGGCGACGCTGCGGGCAGAGCGACGCGGCGGCCGGCTAGGGCCTGCAGGGGCGGCGCGCGATCGGGCAGAGGCTGCGCGCGGGCCTGACGGGTCTGCAGGGGCGGCTCTCGGGCCTGACGGGCCTGTAGCGGCGGCTCGGGGGCCTGACGGGCCTGCAGCGGCGGCTCGGGGGCCTGACGGGCCTGTAGCGGCGGCTCAGGTGCCTGACAGGCCTGCAGCGACGGCTCGGTGGCCTGACGGACCTGCAGGGGCAGCTCGAGGGCGCACGAGGGCGCACGAGGGCGCACGAAGGCGCACAAGGAGAGAAAGGCGCACGAGGGCGCACGTAGGGTAGGGCGCACGAGGGCGCACGTAGGGTAGGGCGCACGAGGGCGCGTAGGCGCAAGAGGCGCACGGTAGGTAGGTAGGTAGGTAGGTAACGGTGGGCCCTAAGAACGGTCCTAGCGATGGACCTGCTCTGATACCATGTCAGAATAAACGGACTGGAATGATGAACTAACAAGGATTGTGAGTACAAATGTGAAACCCTAATGTTGTGACCCCCCTATAGGCTAACCCACTACAGCCTACACAAATACAACATGTATAATGTTTGACAGTGAATCCCTATAGGCGTATCGAAATAATTCAACAACCTGAATTTTGTTGTATATTCGAGTGGCCCTTGTCCAAATACACATACCATAGCCTTTTAGATTGGTTCTTGCGCGAAGAAAAGTTCGGCGCCTACGATTTCGGCCGTTTTTGCCGCCAAGTGCCTAGAAAGCGCGTGAATCCCTATAGGCGTAGGGAAAAGCATTCAGCAACCTGAATTTTATCGCTTATTCAAGTGGCCTATATTCAAATACCCATACCAGAGCCTTTTCTGCTTGTTTCTTGCGCAAAGAAAAGTTCGGCGCCTACGATTTCGGCCGTTTTTGCCGCCAAGTGCCTAGAAAGCGCGTGAATCCCTATAGGCGTAGGGAAAAGCATTTAACAACCTAAATTCTATTGCATAATCGAGTGGCTCATGTTCATTATAGGTGCCCAACAACCTGAATTCTATTGCATATTCGAGTGGCTCATGTTCATTATAGGATTGGTTCGCGGCCTTGGATGCGCCTTTTTCTGTGCTAATCTGCTGGTTTTGACCATTTTTGCAGATCCACAACAAATGGCACCATTGCATTCTACATGGTTTGCATGATTTGAGCGCCCGAACTCTGCCTGGTACGCCCATTATAGTCGCCCATACTCACCAAGGTGCCCAACGCATCAATTTGATTGGCACCTTGGTGCGTCTTTTTTCACGCTTATCTACTCGACTAGACTGTTTTGCGCATCCACAACGAATGGCTCCATTGCATCCCACATGGTTTGAATTATTTGAGCTCTCGAACTCTGCACGATACGCTCATTATAGGCGCCCATACTGATTAGGGTGCCCAACGCATCACTTTGATTGGCCCGCGTCGTTGGATGCGTCTTTTTTAATTCTAGTCTACTCGATTAGATTGTTTTGCACATCCACAACGAATGGCTCCATTGCATTCCATTGGTTTGCATGATTTGAGCGCCCAAACTCTGCCCAGTCGCTCATTATAGGCACCCAGTAGGTGCCCAACGCATCAAATTGATTGGCCCGCGCCGTTCGATGCGTCTACTCAATTAGACTATTTTGTACATCCAAAACGAGTGGCTCCATTGCATTCCACGTGGTTTGCATAATTTGAGCGCCCGAACTCTGCCAGGTACGCTCATTATATGCGCTCATACTGACCAGGGTGCCCAACGCATCACTTTGATTAGCCCGCGGCGTTTGATGCGTCTTTTTTCGTGCTAGTCTACTCGATTAGACTCTTTTGCACATCCACAACGAGTGGCTCCATTGCATTGCACGTGGTTTGCATGATTTGAGCGCCCAAACTCTGCCCGGTAAGCTCATTACATGCGCCCATACTGATCAGGGTGCCCAACGCATCACTTTGATTGGCCTGCGGCGTTGGATGCGTCTTTTTCAGTGCTAGTCTACTGGATTATACTTTTTTGCATATCCACAACTAGTGGCTCCATTGCATTCCGCGTGGTTTGCATAATTTGAGCGCCCGAACTCCGCCCAGTACGCTCATTATAGGCTCCCATACTGACCAGGTTGCCCAACGCATCACCTTGATTGGCCCGCGACGTTGGATGCGTATGTTTTCTTGCTAGTCTACTGGATTATACTGTTTTGTAGATCCGAGACTTGTGGCTCCATTGCATTGAAAGTGAGCACTCATTGTGTGTGACCGCCAGTGCCGAAGTTGCTTTGTCTCAAGTAAGCATACGATGTCTTTACATGACTGAGTTTTTGGGTGGCGATGGTCTCAACTAACACTGAGGGAGTACCAGCAACATCACCAGCATGCCACGTCAGCGGCATGGCATCACGTAGTCGTGGTGGCAACGGGGGGAGCGGGCAGCGAGTCGAGGTACTGCAGGAGGTGCTGATTGGACGAGGCGGAGAGCGCCAGGTCATCGTGCATCTGAGTCAGCGCCCGTGACAGTGCTTGCATGGGCGGCCGCAGCGCCGCCCGCCCCGGCGTGCCGGGCGGCAGAGCGAGAGCCTTGCCGTGTTGCAGCACCAACTCCTGCAGTGTGGGAGAAGGGGGGGGGGGAGGGTGGGGGGAGTGGGAGGGAGGGGGATGTGAGGGTGTGAACGAGTGGGGAATGAGAGACAGCATGTGATGACCGGCACCACGAATGCCTTGCTGCGGTAACAACATGTGAGTCAAGACAAGTGCCAGATTGAGGGAGGAGGTCAGCATGTGTCAACGTCCCTCCCTTCCATCCCCTATCACTCGTCCACTCCCATTGCCACTGCCTCAAACGCTCCCCTCGTCCTTCTGCACTCTTCACACCGCTCCCCTCTCACCTTGCACCACAGCAGCACGAATTCCAATTCAGGCCTTCCTTCCAGCATTGCTGCCACAGCCGCAACCACCTTTCCCAGCCGCTTCCTCGGCAGGGCTGACACTGTTGCACCCAGCCGCTCGGGCGGCACAGCCATCATCGCGTCCTGTAGCAGCTTCGTCTCATTCAGCCGCAGCGCCATCTGTATCGCCCTCGCGTGCAGCCCAGCATCTGTAGCAGCCACTACAGCCGCAGGCGTAACATCCATGTCTAGATCCGATGGATCGAACACAACGCCTTCATCCAACCCAAACACCACGAGCCCTTCGGTTGTCGCGGCCGCCCAGGACTGCCCGGTCGGCGAGAACTGGATTGCCTTCACGCGGATCTCCGGGTGGTGCTGGCTGCCGTTTCTCGCTGCCCCGGGGAGGTCGGAGCCGAGCAGCGAGTGGCGGCGCTGGCGGTGCGAGTCGTCGAGATCGTTGTCGTCCACATCGGAGTCGCTTATATCGAGGATGTCCAGCGGGCCCGCGTCCGTCATGCGGTGTGGGTTGAGTGAGTCCATTGCGCCTGAGAGAGACTTGTTGCTCGTTATCAGGTAGCGCCGCAGCAGCAGCTGGTGAGAGAAGAGTGGGGGAGGAAGGGAGCGAGAGTAGGAGGGGGTGGGCAGGAAGCGGGTGGGGGTGAGAAGGGAGCGGGTAGGCGTTGGTGGAAGCGGGAAGGTGGAAGGAGACAGGCACAGCGAGAGAGTCAGTCATGCAGAGGTGGCTGCGGAATCCATGAGGAAACGAGAAGGACGCAGCACCACGCACTCACCATCTCAGCCACGTCATACAGACACACGTATCGGCTCGTCCCAGCAGCCAGCAAGAAGCACCCATCCGCCGAGTAACACAGACTCCGGAAGCTCTTATCCCCCAGCCGCAGAGCACCCCGCCCGCCCTTGCCGCCCGCCGCCCCGCCGACCAGATCCCGCCGCCCCTCGATGGTCCCCTGCAGCTCGCCGTCCAGCGGGTCCCAGAGGTGGATGTGGCCGTCCAGCGTGGCGGTGGCCAGCTGGCGGCCGTCCGGGCGGAAGGCGAGCGCGAGCACCTCGTGCGCGTGCAGGAGGGGCTCCGTGCCGCCCTTGGCCTCGAACACGTCCCACAGCCGACACGTGCTGTCCCAGGCAGCTGACGCTAGCAGCTCCTGTGGTATGAGAGAACATGAGGGTTGAAAATGTGTTTGGGGGTGGGTCATAGGCCATGAGCCATGAGGGGCTCTGTTCCGCCCTTGGCTTCAAACACGTCCCACAGCCGACACGTGCTGTCCCACGCTGCTGATGCTAGCAGTTCCTGTGGCGCAAAAGGGGGGGAAGACGAGAGGCTTACAGTTGTGTTGGGGAGTCTCTAAAGCTGAAGGGGAGGACAGTGGGGTAAAAGGGGGTGAGAAAGCAAGTCTGTATGCATGCTCCGCACACGCACACCTGAAATCCATTTCAGCGGTCACCTCCCAAGATTGCTCTGCTCACCTGCGTGGGAGAGAAGGCGAGACTATGCACGGGCCCCTCGTGTCCCGATAGCACATCCAGCAGCCTGCCAGTGCGCATGCTCCACACGTACATCCTGACTCGCAGCACACAACACACCACTGTGAGTAGGTGACCGTGACCGTCCTGCTCACCTGCGTGGGAGAGAACGAGAGGCTGTGAATGGGCCCCTCATGCCCCGATAACACATCCAGCAGCCTGCCAGTGCGCATGCTCCACACGTACACCTGGAAGTCGTCCTGACTCGCAGCACACACCACCTCGCCTGACGGGTGCACGGCCAGCGACGCAAACTGCACGGGCTGCGGCGTGGTGAGCGTGCGGAAGCAGCGGTACCGCAGCAGATCAAACGCACGGACCGTGCCGTCCAGCGACGCACTCACCACTGCCCCGCCCCCCCCGCCGCCCGCTGCTGCCGCCGCCGCCGACCCCGCGCCGCCGGATGGGAGGAAGGCAACGGCGGTAACCGGACCGGTGTGCTCGGCTAGTGTTACAAAGCAGAAGCCCGACGCGAGGCTCCAGACCTTCACCTTGGCATCGTCCGACCCGGTTACCACACGGGTGCCATCCGGGGAGAACGCAACGCAACTAACATCGTAGAAATGGCCCTGGACTTTCATCACGTAGGTCTCCGAGCGCCACTCCCATACTAGCAGCTGCCCCAGGCGAGCGCACCCCACTGCCACCCAGTCCCCTGCCTCGTTGAACGAGACGGAGGAGATTTTGGTTCGTGAAATGGACATGAGGTGCAGGGTGGAGAACTCGGGCAGCTGGTAAAGCCCGAAGATGCCCGAAGAGAAGCCCGCGACGAGGAGATTGGTGGGCTTGTGCAGGTCGCAGGAGGTGAGGCGCGCCTTGGGCAGCATGAAGAAATGTTTCGCCTCGAGGCGCCACTTGCCCTCGTCCAATCGGAAGTCCCGGCGGACATGGGGGGGTGGTGTAGGTGCCTTTTCTGCCAGCCGTGATTTCTTTCTTGGCTGCTCCTCCTCCTCATCTGCCCCCTCCTCCTCTTTCCCCTCCTCACCCCCCTCCTCTTCTTCCACTTCCTCCTTCTCCTCCTCCTCTTCCTCATCTTGCTCCTCATCGTCCTTCTCTGCTTCATTTTCCATTTCACCATCCTCCCCTTTCTCCTCTTCCTCTTCCTCTTCCTCTTCCTCTTCCTCTTCCTCTTCCTCCTCCTCTTCTTCCTCCTCTTCCTCCTCCTCCTCCTCTTCCTCCTCCTCCTTCATCCGTGTCCCCGTCCCCTCCTTTCTTCACATCCTTCTCCCCCTCCCCCTCCTCCTCCTCCTCATTCTCCTCCCCCTCCTCCTCCTCATCCCCATCCTCATCATCCCCATCCTCCCCTCCATCATCTACCACCTCCCCACCTTCCCCCTCCTTAGACCTCTTATAAACCTTAAACCCCTTATCCCCCTGGTCCCCCCTACCCGCCCTGCGCCCCTTCCCCTTCCGCCTCCGCCACCCTTTGTGCAGCGGATCAAAGAACCATGAGAACAGCGCGCCGTCTTTCGACACCGTGTATATCCGCAGCGCCTTTTCCGCCCCCCCGGGTCCCTCCCCCAGCCCCCCCTGCTGCCCCGAACCTCCCCTTAAACCCAGCGCCACGTCTGCCCGTTTGAAATTCGGGCCCGCGCCGGTCATGATCGCGGAACCCCCTCCATAGAAGAACGCGCCTACAATCACATCCTTGTGCCCAGTCAGCCGCACCGGCTTGTACATTTTGAGGGAATCCAGGGAGTAAATCCTGGCCGTTAGATCCTTGTTTGCGGCCACAATCCACTTTCCGTCGGGGGACCAATCAATAGCCGTGACCTTGTCGTAACCCCCCGAGAACGACTTGAACAGTCGCATGGGAGAAAAGGTTTTTCGCATTTCAGGCGTGTGCCAGATTTGAAGTTGTCGCCCAACCCCTGCTGCGAAGAATTTTCCGTCCGGGCTGAATTTGAGGGCTCCTACGGGGAACTTGAATCTGAAAAGATGGAGCACTACGCGACGATGCACGTTGACCATTCTGGACCGTCCATCTGAATCGACGGCTATTAGAAGGTTTCCGTCTGGGGAGAGCGCGATGAGCGACACGTCAGTCATCGTTTGAAACGGAAGCGTGTTCGACTCCGATGCCGTCAGGTCAACGACGTTGACGCGGTTACCAACAGGCGAATAGAGTTTCGTGTCTTCGCGAAGGAGGATGTTACCTCCTCGGTACGGCGCACCGAGGAGGTTTTTGAACCGGTAATTCATGACAGCGGACCCAATGCGTGACCAGGTAAGTAAGAAACGGCTGGTTATTACCTACGCGAGCACGATAGGCACGTAATTTCGCGACCTACAAATGGTCGGAAAAGAAACAAGGCACTAGCAAGGGAGGAATGAAAGCCAGGTGCTGCGGTGCGGGGAGGAGGGAAATATGGAGAAAGGATGTCCGCGGTTGTGGATGCATCGGTTGCTGTTACGTACTGATTCATATCGTAGTACATCCTGAAGCTACCATGTAGCGATTCACCTCTTCGGGTTTCATCGCTCGCCAAACCAACCATGGGCCCGCGCCAGCCGCTCAGCGAACAAACACGACCACCTGCCAGCGAACAAGAAGCCACATGCGACAGATCCGATCGGAGCCGTCAAATCTTTAACCTTTGTCACTGATGCCAGTTCAGCCCTTGGATTCATCCTGGCCGCCACGTTTCATGGCAGATCGTTCGAAGCCCTCATTCCGCTTTGCTTTGACTTCCAGTCCAGCTGAGCCGTTTCTCCTCTCCAGCTGTAATCTGGTTGGTTGGTCAGTGGTCAGTGGTCACATCTGTCATCGCATCTCCCGTAACAACCCTTGCTGCGCTGTCGGTCATGGATGCATCGCCGCGTCCATACGTACCCACCCGAGCCTTGTCCCGTCATCGCAACCGTCCATAAACAAGATTTATGATTTGCTTGCAGTCAAACCAAACGAAACCCAATCGTCAGTCAGGCACAACGAGCCACGTGCCTGTCACTTTCCCTCGCAACCGGTAGGCCAATAAGCTCCTCCCAAAGCCCCCCAGCTCCTCGCCGAAGCTGCTCCACTCACCTCACCGAACCTGGTGTAACTCGCACACACCCCTCACCCGAACTACTTCCCTGACGTCTGGTACATTCTGGAGGTTCCCGAGGCTGCCGAGCAGCTTCGTGGCGATCTCCCTCGATTCCACCGCACGCCAACCCAGCGTCAGGGAGCACATGCGTGCACCCGCCGCAACCTCTTTTCTACTGACCCATTACGGTACACCTCCACGTTCTGTATTTGAGTCGTTTTGCCCTGACAAGCTGTACGAATCTGACCAGTGTGCGCGACGACTTGTGTGCTGAATGCTTAGTATTGACTGGACTCAATTATTTTGTGTTAGGCCTGACGATTAAGAAAGCGATTCGACCTTCGTAGAGCACCTGTCCGGGCCATGGTGAATTACTCAATGAAACCGCCTCGAATAGAAGTAAGTCGCGTGCTGTCGCTACATCTTAACAATCCATAGCTTCCGTTTCCACGATCGAGCAGTGAATAAGTAGCTCATGGCCGCTATTTTGTTGAGGCCAGTTGTCTTTCCGTGAACTACTCTAACCGCAATTCCTACCCCACCCCCTCCCTCCCGTCCCTCTCTACCTCCGCTTGTCCCGCAGGACGGCACGCTGTGCATGCTCGGCGCTCGCACGCACAGCAGCTGCACGCTGCACCTGCCTCCCACCGCACCCATCGCACCCTCTTCCTTAGACTCGCGGATTCCGTATCAGCAGCAGCAACAGCAGCAGAATGGGGGTGAATCTCAGCAACCGGAGCATCTAGATCAGTCAGTTTTAGGGTCGGGAGGGTCCACGTGGCCGGTCGTCCGCTCCGGCTTTAGCGCGGATAAAGGCGGCCGGCAGAGGATGGAGGACGCCCACGTGGCGGTAGATGATTTGTCACAGGCTATCGGTGACGTGGCTGTTGCGCATCCGCGAGCTTTTTACGGGGTGAGTCGCGAGTAGGTCCGGCGTAAGGCTCGGTTAAGAGTAGATCACGTAAGCATGCCAACTCCTTTTATGTCGTACTGAGCTCTATTTCTGTCATGTAACTCTTTCATAGTCATTTCCGGTTGAACAACTTACCCGTTGTTCAACCTCCCCTCCCGTCTCGTCAATTGTCCCATCGGCTCATTTTAACCGTCCCGCTCTTCCCGCAGATCTTCGACGGTCACGGCGGCGACGCGGCGGCGCAGTTCGCGCGGCAGAAGCTGCTGGGCCACGTGCTGCGCGACGCGGCGTTCCCGCTGCACGTGGGCAGCGCGCTCAGAAACGCGTTCCTGCGCACGGACCGCGAGTTGGAGACGGCGCGCACGGCGGACGGGCACGCCATGGACTCGGGGACCACCGCGCTGGCCGTGCTGCTGCTGGGCAGGTGGGGAGACCATAGCCGATAGATTACGTACGCTGTGGTTGGCGGCCGTGCAGTGCGGAGTGGGTGCTGCCGCACCGATAGTCAAGGTTTAGGGGGTATTTGTTAATGACGCTGCGTCTCACCTACGATCCCCATCCCAACATCCCCTCGTCCCTATCACCTCGCCTCTCGTCCCCTCATCCTCCCATCCCCCCATCCCCTTTCGACCCAATTACCCCGTCACCCCATTCCCCCATCATCTCATCGCCTCTTCACCACAACCCCCTCAACCTCGGCAGGTCGCTGTACGTGGCAAACGCGGGGGACTGCAGGGCGGTGCTGTGCCGGCGGGGGCAGGCGGTGGAGCTGTCACGGGACCACCGCGCTGTGTGCCAGCACGAGCGCGCGCGCGTGGAGCGGGCGGGCGGGTGGGTGGTGGACGACTACTTGAACGACCAGCTGGCCGTCACCAGGGCGCTGGGCGACTGGCACATTGAGGGTCTCAAAACCCGCCGTTCCTCTGCAGCCGCTGCAGCTGATTCGGCCGGTGCGACTGGTGCTACAGATGCTGCTACAAGTGGTGCTACAAGTGGTGCTACAGGTGGTGCTACAGGTTGTGCTACAGATGTTGCTACGGATACGGCAGGTGGCAGTCATGCTGCAGGCAGCAGTGAAGCGGATGCTGCTGTGAGAAGAGCCAGTGGCACCACCTGTACAGGCCCTGCTGCAGAAATGGCATCATTACCATCCCCTGGGAGCGACAGCGACAGTGACATTATAGAGGGGCCGCTTATTGCGGATCCGGAGGTGCACGAGGCGCATCTGTCGAATCCCGAGGACGAGTTTCTGGTGCTGGCGTGTGACGGGCTGTGGGACGCATTCAACAATGAGGGCGGTGGCAGCAAGGAGGTGGTGGCGTTCGCCCGCAGGCGGCTCAGACTGCACAACGACCCCCAGCAGTGCTCCAAGGTGTGGCTTCTGCACCCATGTTGAGTTCCGAGCTGATTCCCCCTGCTGTAGTCCTTCCCTGCTTTGCCAGTCAATCCGTCAGACCCGATCATGTGTGGTTTGTCTCATTGCGCCGCGCTCAATCACTCTGTTCCGTGCCACAGGATCTAGTGGAGGAAGCGATTCGGCGGCACGCGTGTGACAACGTGACGGTGCTGACGGTGTGCTTCTCACCCGACCCGCCACCTCTTCTGCAGCACCACGAGCTGCTGCACTCGCAGCTTCCTCGCAGCTTCTCGGAGTACAGCCTCAGATGCCTCAACTGAGGGGGAACGGGAGAGGGGCGAAGGGGAGAGGTGGGCTAAATGAAGGGGGAAGGTGCCTCCATTGAAGGGGGACTGTGTCCATTAGGAAAGGTGCTCCAATTGAATGTGTAGATCCCTGGAGGGAGGGGCGGAGAGTGGGGAAGGCAAGTTGCTGCGGGGAGTGGGGTAGGCGAGTTGCCGTAGCCTGCTCTGAATCGGCGAGTCTTCATTTCTTTCTTTGGTTTGTGTTGAGCTGGTTATTATCCAGCTATCCTTGAGTTTGCGTGTACCGTTTCAATGGTATTTGTTTATGTATGTATATGACATCTTATTGGTGCTGTAAATACCGTTCATTCTCAGATTTTGTGCTTGTGAGCTCATCTTTTTACCTCATCCACTAGCCAAATTCAAGGCACAGACCACAAGCATCACATGGTGTGCCCAGCTGGTCACATTCCCCCATCTGATCAACAATGATTAGGTAGGGTACTGAACATTCTTGGGAAGAAGTGTCTCAAAAGGAGGCTTGGTGGACTCCATGATTCGTAATGACCTCCAGACAAATGTCACTATACAACTTGGTCTTCAGTGAGTCTTATCAACACGGTAACTACCAGGCCTCCACCAAGCCTCCACCACCCTCCAACAAGGTGGAAACAGCATGCACCTCTTCACATCATGTGAACTGCACTGAGAACCCATAAGAGTCGCCATTACAAGCGCATCACAGCAGCAGCAGTCGCCATTACGTCATGTCAACTCCAGGCCATGTTGTGGGTGGGAAGACAGGTGCTCGGATCAGGCAGCCTCGGATCAGGCAGATGATGACTTCACCGCCTCAGAGACTTGCCGGATAACTGCAGCAGAGACATGGAGGGACATGCACGAAAGAAGATCGTTGCCGGATTACATCACAAGGCTTGGTACATAAGGCTCCGAACAGTAGGGATATTATGACTCAGCTATGGACGCCAGCTGCATTAGGGGAAACCGCGGAGACTATGGCAGGCAAGAGCTTTGGCAAGAATGGCGGGAAATACTGGGGATCTACCCTGAAGCTGATCGATGAGTGAATCTATGGCGATCGCTGTGCATAAACGACGAGAGGCGACGAGACCTTCGAGATACGCACCTGGCTTATCCGGCACGCCCTCCTTCCACTGCACCACCTTGTAGTACACCTGCTCGCGCGCGATCGCTTGCGACTTAAGCGGCTCCTTGAGGCACGCCCGCAGATGCGCGGCGCACTGATTCGCGTACGCGAGGTACGTCATCCCCGCTGCGCGCCAATACGACGAAGCCGCCATAGTTTACTACGGATTCTCTTCCTCTACTTGACGGATACTCACGAGGCTACCCGCGAGAAGGGGCGTGAGGAAATGGCGGAGGACCGGAAGGACGTGGCGTGGTGTGGTGGAGAAGTGGTGATGGGGGACAGGCTGGCGGGGGGAGTCGGAAAATAAGGTTGCTTCAAGGCAGGGAGGGGGGGAACGGCGGGGAACAGGCACGGGAGGCGGCGCAAAGGGGGAGGAGAGGAGTGCGGAGGTATGCGAAGATTGGCTACCTTCGAGAGTGCTTTGTGACAGCAAAGCGGAACGAGTAACAAATGTCGCGAGCGGTTCGCCCAGCTTCACAATCGTTTTCACCTTCAACCAGCAAAAGCTGCTGAATTCGCTTCGCCTCATATTTCCCTGGTCACTTTATTGGAACCCTCCAAGCCAGGCATGTAGAACTTATAGCTTATTCGACTACCATTTCGCCATTGTTAAAACACACCGTGTAATTGAGTGGTACGTCTGTGAGGCCGGTATCTGACGGCGTTCAGAAATGACGGCATTATCTTCGCCAGCTGCGCTCGCAAGGACAGGCTTATCCACGCCGTCGTCCTATAGCCGCTCACTTTCGCCGAATTCGAGGCTAGCGGCTCGATCCGCACATCGCAAATTTCGCGTTTCCCCGCTTTCATGCCAATCAGAATCATCCCAGTCGCCGATCCGATGTCTTGATGACTCATTAGGATCTTCACAAGCTACCCAGTCAACGGTCGAAGCTTCCTATTCGAATCATTTAGATCCGCTTCTGAAAGCGCTGACGTGCAACGCTGATGCTGACGTGGCAAGCTTCCACTTTCCGGCTCATCGCAGGGGCCTCGGAGCGCCTCCCCGCGCCGTCTCCGCGTTCGGCGCTGATGTTTTCCGTCACGATCTGCCGGAGCTGCCGGATCTCGACAACCTCTTCGCGCCAGAATCCGTCATCGCCGAGGCGCAGGAGCGCGCAGCGAGAGTATTCGGCGCGTCGGAGACCCGGTTCTTAGTCAACGGCAGCACCGTAGGCGTCCAGGCGGCCATAGTAGCCTGTTGCCGACCTGGCGACGTCCTTATTCTCCCTCGCAACGCTCACCAATGCGCGTTTTCCGGTATGGTGCTATCAGGAGCCGTGCCGCACTATATCCTCCCTGTGACTGATGATTCCTGGGGTATTACTCATGGGGTTACCCTGGATAGCGTCACAGAGGCGATACGCCACGTGGCTGATACAGGAGCGCGAATAGGGGCTGTTCTGGTGGTTTCCCCGACTTATTACGGGGTATGCAGCGACATCAGGGGAATCGCCCGGGCGTGCCACGAGGCAGGCGCGCCTTTAATAGTAGACGAGGCGCATGGAGCGCACTTTAAGTTCCACAGTGCGCTGCCAGAGACGGCTCTAGAGGCGGGGGCAGACATAGTGGTGCAGTCGACGCACAAGGTGCTGGGATCTCTGACTCAGTCCGCCATGCTGCACATTGGCCATGGCAATTCATGCTCTCCTGTTGGGAATGCGGTTGAAGCCACATCACCACCACCGTCAGAAACACCAGTGCCGCTAGCAGTACCAGCAGCAGCACCATCACCATTGGCAGCAGTACCATTGCCGCCATCACCCCGTGTGAGCCCACGAGACGTGGCGCGAGCGCTGCAGCTGCTGCAGTCGTCATCCCCATCCTACCTGCTCCTCGCCTCCCTCGATGCCACCACCGGCCACGTCGCCCGCCCCTCCTTCCCCTCCGCCCTCGCCCGCGCCCTCCGCCTTGCCACCCGCCTGCGCTCCTCCCTGCTCCCCCTCGGCCTGCGAGTCCTCCTCAGCCCAGACCAAACCTCAAGAGGCCATAAACAGCTCGAGAGGTGTGCACACGCAGGATTTGACCCGCTGCGGGTGACGGTGAGCGTGAGGGAGCTGGGGCTGACAGGGTACGAGGCTGATGATGTGCTGCGGCTGCAGCATGGGGTGGTGGCAGAGCTGCCCTTCCTGCATGGCCTCATGTTTGCCGTCAGCACTGGCAGCACTGAGAGCGATGTGGACCGCGTTGTTGCTGCATTTGCTGCCATGGTGGAGGAGAGAGGAGTGAGTGAGAGGGTGGATGGAGTAGAGTGGGACGAGGGCGAAGTAAAGATAGAAGAAGTGATTTTTCCAGTTGTACCACCGACTAGCAATGGGACTTCAGTGTGCTGCCCGCAATTATCCCCACGGGACGCGTTTTTCTCGCCCAGTGAGGTTGTGCCAGCTCAGCAGGCAGTGGGGCGCTACAGTGCGGACATGCTGTGCCCGTACCCGCCTGGAATCCCAGTGTTGCTGCCGGGGGAGTTGGTCACTGCAGAGGCACTGAAGCTACTACATAGAGTGTTGAGCCTAGGAGGCTCTGTGTCTGGCCTGCCCTCTGAAAGCCTAGATGCCATACGCGTTATTGGATGAAATGTTATTTTGGATTTATCTGTCCATCGATCGAACGTGTTCCTGACATAGAATCTGATTATTTACATGAATTCGTAAAAACTTGAATCTGGTTCTTATACAGAAGAAGTTATCCATATCATAATGCTTCTAGAGGCCAAATACGTCATGTATTGGACATATTTTAACAGGATTCGCTGAATCATAAATTTTAGTACAAGCGAATCTTTGCTTGAGCGAGGACAAACTAGTTTCGTTGGTTTTGCGACGGGGCTGCCAGACCTTGCTTCGGGTTTGTGTCAGGCGGCTCGTCCTCCTCCTCGTCCTCCTCCTCTTCCTCCTCCTCCTCCTCTCCCCTCCCTCCTCTCCCCGCGCTCTTCACCACAGGCAGCATAGGCTTAGCAATCAGCACTGACGGCAGGACATGGACCAGAGCGAGAGGGCACGCGGGGCGATTCCCACCCCACGCTCGCACGACCCGGCAGCGTTTGATTCCTCGCATGTGGGGTGCGGCGATGTGGTGTGGGTTCAGCCTGGGGATACAGGCAAGGCGGGCATAAAAAGGGGAGAGGATGACAAGAGGCAAGACGGGGTAGAAGGTTGGATGGGAGGAGGGGTAGAGGGAGCGCGTGGGAAGGGCGAGGCGGGTGGTGGATGTTTTAGTTTGGAGGGGGCAGGGAGGCACGTGAGGAGCGGGCGGGAGTGAGCGTGCACGGTGGCACCATGCGCATCGGCATTGCCACGCCCCCACATGGGATGCACCTCCACCGCGTTGCAACCTCCGGTGCTGCTGCTGGTGCTGCTAGTGGTGTGAGTGGCACTGGTGGTGCGCTGTTAGCAGCACGGCAGGGAGTGGTGGTGGATGAAGGCGCAGCAGGCGACCCGGATGCCTGCTGTGTGTAGCTACACAACCGTGTAACAGAAGTTCTGTTTGTAGCCTGCCCGCCTGTGCTCACTCCCTCCATGCTCGCCCCTGCCACGCCTGCTGCTGCCTCCCACGCTGCTCAAGCAACTCTACCTCACGTGAGTTGCTTCCATCCACACGCACCTCTGCCTCTACGCACTTACTAACTCGCGCCCACTCCACTCTTCGCCTCATGTTGCCCTGCTGCTCTTTTCTTTCCTGCTTGTATGTCCTCCAGGGACCTCTCTTTTGATTCCTCATAATGCCCTTCCCCACTCCCACACCATTCCCGTGTTCCCATTCCATGCCCATCCTCACTCGTGCCCCCATACCCAAGCCCTATCCCTATGCCACACTCTCCTTCAACCCCATCTCCACCCCACCCCACAACCGCTTGCAGGTCACCCCC